AAATTCCTTCATAGGTAATCTTAAATTCTCTGGCTGGTGGTCCTTTATACCATATGCCCAATGTTGGTAATACCTTCTTTTTGATTCTTTTCTCACTGTATACATATTTTGAAATCGTCACAGATTGTCTTGTTGCCCTTGTCCAATTGACTGCTTGCAGCATTTCTTGGATATAATAGTTATCCAGCTCCCAGTAAGATGGACTAATGGGTTGTTGTAGATGATATATCACAACTTCCTTGAGTGTGCCTTTATTTCTCATTAGTTTATACTTTGTGTTTGTTTCTCTGTACCATTGGTTAAGACTTGGTAAGGGGTTGTTTCGCTTGTATAGTATAATTTGTTCTTTAACTTTATTGGGATAGTTTAATAGTCGTTTTTCTTCATTTTTGCCAATCTTCTGATATTGTAGCAAATTGTATAGGTGTTCCTTGCTTGTTTCCTGTATTAAACTCTGTTCCTCCAGTGGTACTAGTACTTTTGTTCCAGGACCACCAATTCCATCAATAAACTTATCTTGATAAGGGATGTCCAGAATAGAATACCCTGGACAAGAATAGTGACCAGCAAATTTGATACAACTAATTCTGTTGCTAATTTTTATCCATGGTGATTGTTGCCCAAGTGTGTAATTATTCTTGAGGTTCCTCAAGACAATAATTGCCTCTTCTGTTTCACAATAGGACTGCCCTGGTAAACAATCTTCCAGGTAGTCCAGATTAGTTGTAATTTTCATATTAGGAGGTTGCCAATATGCTTTGCCAAACTGGATAATTGTGGTGTATTCCAGCACCTTGGTAGTTGTTGGCCATGTGTAGGCAGCAGGAAACTGATCTTGGTGGATCCAAGTGTTTCTTTTCACCATTAAAGGTTTTCCTTGAAAAGATCGTTTGTCTTTTACCATCTGTCTGCATTGATCATGAGTTACTTTGATAACTGAGTTAACAATTCTCCTCTTCTTTGCTCCAAAGAAATAGTAAGTGTAAAAATTAGTTCTTAGATACACTTGACATTTTACTGCTCTTGTTTCAATTTCTTCCAAGTTCAATTCATAGATATCAGCTGTAATTGTCTTGGTTTCTTGTGATTCTATATTACAAGTTGGCTCATCTGCTAGATCAAATGCCTGGCTTGGTAGTTGGTTAGAACAAAAGTATAACGGTGGTTTAAATGTTAAGGTAATGTTTGCACTTGTAACATGGCACCTTGGTAGGATGGTTTTGGGACTGTTATTGAGTGGATGCAGCCACAGATCACCATTACAGTCATCACTAGTGGAAGCCACAACATCTGTTTCATGTTAGCTCTTCCTGTGTTGGCTATAGTTGAATGGTTGAAAATTTTGTGTTGTTGTTCCACTCTGATAGTTATTCCATCTTCTAACTCTATATATTGTGGTTCCACTTCTTGTTGGGAATCTAATTGTTCAGAGATGATTTTAGTCTCATCTAAAAATAATGACTATGCTGGTCATTGTTTTTTTCTATCTGGATGATCTACATATGATATTATGAATGTTATTCATATTTCCTTTCATAATATTGCTCATTTCTAACTATTTCATCTTTCTATCAGAATAAGTTGCTCTGAATGTATTTATAGTCATTATTTTTTTGTTCACTTCAGATGACTTGAATATTGACTGAATTACTGTCTGTTTTGAAAGTATTGCTTGTGTCATAACCAGTATCAGAATTAGTAACTTCCATCTCTGAGTCATCACTATCTGACTTTCTGATGAAGAGTCATGCTGTCCCATCATGGCTATAGTGACTTTGTTTAGTTGAGGTTGCCTTATTCTTTCAGCCAGGTTCCCTTTCCTTCTATCAAATTTGAGAGAACACTGTTTAGCTTCAAAATTGAGGTTTGCTCCCACAGTTTGTAGGAAATCACAACCAAGTATTATTGCTATGTCTAGATTTTCCATAACTATAAATTCTTGTTCCATACTTTCTCCAGCAAATTGGATATTCAGCTTTACGCTTCCTTTTTGCTTTAAAGCTTTCCCATCAGCTGAAGTTATAATTGGTAAGCCAATTGTTTCTTTATCCATAATTGTAACATCCATTAACTTGATTTCTTTTCAGTAATAAAGGATCTCAATGCTCCTGTGTCACACAGGCAATGACTTCTTGGCCTTTTTGATTCTTCAAACGGAATTGGAAGTCATTTCTTCCTTCTACCTGAGAAAGATATTGGAGGTGTGTTATTTCCTTCTCCACAAGGTGAAAGATTGTTGTTGCTTCTTTCCCTGTTTCCAACTTATTAGATTCATTGGCTAGTCTTAATCTGCTACCATGTACCAACTTGCATGTATTATCATCCATTTGTATTTCATATATCCACTTTTGATGATTGACTTTTGTTATTCGGTATGGGCCTAACCATTTTAAAGAAGGGATTTTTGTTATTGCAATTCTTGCAGCATCATTCTTAAGAATACTTCATCATCAACCTCAAAATATTTTGGAAGATTGAGATTTCTATTCTTCTTTCCCTATATTGTTCTTTGCCATGATGGATTTACAGAAGGCTGTAGCTCTTAACTGTACTAATTGCTGCTGGTGATTGAATACAAATAGTACATTTGTTCAGGAGAGGTAGTATGCATTGTTACATCAATCAGTGTTCTTGTGCTGGTGCCAAAAAGAAGTTCCTGGGTGGTAGTCTTGTACTTCCTACAGGTGATTGATTCAAAAATGCTTGAATCAAGGGTAGGTTTGCAACCCAGTTATGCTGATTTTCTTCCACCACTAATTTATTGATTTCCTTCCTCACTTCTCTATTTCTTCGTTCAACTAGTCCATTGCTCTGGCTTCTATAAGCTGTTGTTTGGATTTTCTCAATACCTAATACCTTCATAAACTCTTTAAAAGCTTTACCAACAAAGTTTCTTCCTTGATCTGTCAACATTTGTTTTGGAATTCCAAAAATGGGAAAAATCTGTTGAAAAGAAGTTTGCAATTTCTTTACTGGTTTGCTGTTTGAGTGCATATAAAACTGTGTATCTACTGAAATGATCCACTATCACAAGTATGAATCTGTATGACTTAACCATGGTAAGGGTCCCATTATATCCATGGCTACCAACTCCATTGGTGATGCAGCGGTGAAAGGCTTTCTACCAAAGGGTATACTCTACTCCTTACCATTCATTTGTCACACAAAGTGCAATCCTTTATTGAATTCTCAATCATAATC